GCTGGGCAGGCATCGCCTGTCTCTGCTGCCTTTTGCAGCAGCGCCGGCGCACGCGGCGATGTCAGTGTTGCTGGGGCAAAGCAGCTCTTCATCCTTCTCTGCAGGGAGCGTGGATTTTGGGCCAGACGTCACCTCTTCTGACAAGAGTATTAAGGTTCTGCTCAACGCCCAGGACAAAGTGAGTCCTCGCGTGGTTCCCTGGTGCTCCGTGCCCCAGTGGCACCAGCAGGAGGCTGAGCGGGGCGTTTCCTCCCCTAAGCCTGAGCAGGGAGCGGCCGGGTGCTGCTGGGCCTCAGCGGGCAGGTTGGGATGGGTTGGGGTACAGAGACCAGAGGAACGTGGTCTGCAGGCACAGCTCGGCTCCTGAGTCGGCAGAGTCCTGCGTGCCAGGCTGTGCCGTGCCGGCGAGTTGGTGTTTTGAGGCACTGACCTCCCGAGCGGGGATACCACCTTGTCTCACTGCTGTCCAGGCTGCCGGCAGGCGCCAGCTCTGGGTACTGGGAGGCTCCGTGCTGGCACAGGGGAGCGCAGGGTGGGTGCCCGGCACTGACTGCTGTGGTGCTCTCTGCAGGTCTTCAGCCAGATCCGGAACGAGCACTTCTCCAGTGTCTTCGGCTTCCTGAGCCAGAAGTCGCGTAACCTGCAGGCCCAGTACGACGTGAGTATCACCCCGGGGCGTGGGACATCTGCGGTGCCGTCCCTCTGCAGCCAGGTCACCTCCCTGGATGCTCTTTCTTCCGCAGCGGCGCCGCGGCATGGACATCAAGCAGATGAAGAACTTTGTCTCCCAGGAACTGAAGGGACTAAAGCAAGAGCATCGCCTGCTGAGCCTAGCCTGCTTAGGAGCCGGGGCTGGGACGGCGGGGACGGGGAGGCCCTTGGCCTCTGCAGCGGGTGCCTGGGCTCCTGGGGGAAGCAGAGGGGGCTGAAGGGCCCTGCTAGTCCTCAGGAGGGGCAGATGATCTGAGCAGTGGGCAGGGTGGCAGAGGCTGTTAGTTCGTGCAAGTGCCCATAGTGGGGCTGGGGGGACAAGCTGTAGGCAGAGCCCGTTACTCCTCCATAGTGGTTGTCTCTCTTGGCTACGCAGATATTGGTGCCTGCGAGTCCATCATGAAAAAGAAAACCAAGCAGGACTTCCAGGAGATGATCAAGGTCGAGCATTGTGAGTGCTGTTCCCTGTCCCACAACTGTTGCCACCCCTGTCCCAATCCTCACACCCCTGCCCTCCACACCCACATACGTGCCCCAGGCCTGGGCAGCCTCACACCCAGGTGCCCCCTGTGTGACCACAGTCCTTCCAGACCGTTTGTATTGGGGTGGGTCTGGAGATCCTAAGCAGGGTTAACCGTGTCCTCAGAGGGCTGGTGTGTGGTGGGGCGGGAGTCCCCCATTCTCTGGGGCTCAGAGAGGGAGGCTGAGCCCAGACCCCGGCTCGGTTAGCTGGTGAGGGCCCTGGGGGTGGGCAAAGTGACGCTGCCTCTTCCCTCGCCGTAGCTCTGTTGGAGGGCTTTGACATCCGTGAGAGCACCAGCTTCATAGAGGAGCACATTGACCGGCAGGTGAGACCCACGCCGAGCCGGAGGGTGGGCTGCTCTGCCCGCCCAGTGCCACTGTGGGGCTGCGGGTGGCTCACCGCCTGCCCCCACGCAGGTGTCCCCCATCGAGAGCCTGCGCCTGATGTGCCTCCTGTCCATCACGGAGAACGGTGAGGCGTCAGGCTGTGCGGGACAGGGAGGGGCGACACCAGGGCTCCCTGGCCTTGGCACAGAGCTCACCCTGGTGCTCCCCACAGGTCTCATCCCCAAAGACTACCGCTCCCTGAAAACCCAGTACCTGCAGGTGAGTGTCTAGGGGCTCACAGCCAAGTGAGCATTGTGTCAGACAGAGCTTCTCCTCCGTCTGCTGCTTGCCACGAGGCACTGGGCAGCAGCGCTCCCCAGGTTTTTCCCCCCCCCCTGCCTCCATGGGCTTTCCACAAGCCCTGAGCTCTGCCTGCCCCTGCCCGTTGCCTGCAGGGTTGCTCTAAGCAGCCTCCCCACACAGCTGGCACCCTGCCGCCTTCCCGTGCTCACGGCTGGGGCTCTGTGCTGATCCGGCTGCTCCTTCCCCAGAGCTACGGGCCTGAGCACTTGCTGACCTTCCACAACCTCAAGCGCATCGGGCTGCTGACCGAGCAGTCGGCCGGAGAGACCCTGACTGCTGTGGAGAGCAGGGTCAGCAAGCTGGTGACGGACCGTGCTGCAGGTGAGAGCCAGCCCTCTGTGCCCCGCGTGTGCCCCGGGAGCCCGGGCTGTGGGGAGCCCTGACCTGCCCCATGGGGAGCTGCTGCTTCGGAGCTGGCTGGAAGCACGTGGCAAACGCGGACGCTGCAGGCACAGAGCACATCCCCAGAGATGGTGCTATGGATGGGGCAGGGGGCTCTGCCCAGGGGGGCAGCAGGGCTGGCAGGCAACGCTGCCAGTTCTCTTCGAGAGCCAGGAGCTCTGCGTATCCCTCTGCCCAGCCTGTGGCTCCGATTAATCCGGAGGCTCTGAGCTGTTTCTCCTCGTCTTCTTTTCCAGGAAAGATCACAGATGCATTTAATTCTTTGGCCAGGAAGAGCAATTTTCGAGCTATAAGCAAGAAGCTGGGGTTGGTATGTCCTCGTGGGGCTGCTGGCCTGCTGGTCCGCCCACTGGGCGCAGCAGCG